TGGAGAATCAGCTGGAAGAGGCTGAATGGAAGCAGAGAGACCAGTTAAAAAGCCACTAACTGTTCTCACTACAGGTGAGAGGAGATGGTGACATGAACAATGGCAACACGTAGAAGCAGACAGATTCTGGATATTTGTACCAAGTCAAGCTGACTTGCCTAGTTGAATGAGATTAAAGAGAGATAGGTAATCTTTCACTGGCAGCGGGCCTTAATGTTTGTACCAATCTGCCATTTGATCAAGACTTTGATCTGGGCCATGACAGCATCTGTTAACTCTGATCTTGACCTGAGTTAAGGGCCATAGTAAAACCAGTTTTAATTGCTCAGTGGTCACTTTAGCAGGAATGGCCTAAAGGGTGAATATTTATATCTAGAGATATTTATAGACACCAGTGCACCTAAATGCCACTCAAGACAGGTGCCAGTCAAATCTCCTTGTTGCTTCTTCCTCCTGAGAAGCCATTGACACAACAGAAAGAGCAAAGGTTTGGACCCCAGAGGGGCCTGAGTTTTCTTACCTGAGATCTCCTCACCTGGCAGCTGCAGGATGGTAGTCCAGGTGCTAATTTCACTGAGCCTCAGGTTCTGATCTATAAAGCAGGAGCCTCCAGAGGTAATGAACACATGCCACCCAGCACATCATCAGTGCTGTGTAAACTGTTGTTAAACATCTCATATGTTCGCTCTTAGTAACCAGTGGTTTGTTAGCTTTTCTGCATTTTCTGAGCTGCCACTCCCTGAGGCAGGTTTTGCTCAGTAAGATAAGTGTCCTAGGCCACCACCCACACCCCTCCCGCTTGACTTGCTGTGTTAGTGTGAGTCCTCCAAGAAGCAGTCATTAAGAAAGGATTAAATGTATAAGGCTTTTATTAGGGAAAATGGGAGGGAACCTGGTAAGGCTGGGAGCTGTCAGATCACATTGCAGGTCTGGCCTTGAGTGAATGGGAAAGAGAAGAAGGGTGAGTAGAAACGTTCTAGAGTTCCAAGCTATCTACAAAGATTTTGGCAAAGTCATCAGAGTCCTCAAGGCAAAGTCAACCTTCACAGGACTCCGCGTTCTTTCTACCAGAACTTCCTCTCTTCATTTCCTTCATAGACCCTGTATTAGTCCATTCTCACACTGCGATAGGGTTATACCAGAGACTGGGTAACTTATAAACGAAAGAGGTTTAATTGACTCACAGTTCCACATGGCTGGGGAGGCCTTAGGAAACTTACAATCATGGCAGAAGGGGAAGCAAACACGTCCTTCTTCACATGGCAGCAGGGAGAAGAAGAATGAGTATACAGTGAAGGGGGAAACCCCTTATTAAAACATCAGCTCTCATGAGAACCACCTAATATCACGAGAACAGGACAGGGGAAACCACCCCCATGATTTAATTATCTCTGCATGGTCCCTCCCACAATATGTGGGGATTATGGGAACTACAATCCAAGATGAGACTTGGGTGGGGACATAGCCAAACCATATCAGACCCTATCATCACTGGATTCAGGCACTGGCTGGGAGCTCTTTTTGGGAGGCACAACTTTGGCCCAAACACTATGATGGCTTTCAGAGCCCAGCAGCAGAGCCTCCAGTCAATGACCTCTATGTAATCAGGGATTTGTGAGGGGCATTCTCACTGATGCAATGCTTGCTGAATCCAAAACCAAGGACTTCACTGGTTTAAAAAAGTTGAAGAGGCCGGGCGCAGTGGCTCATGCCTGTAATTCCAGCACTTTGGGAGGCCAAGGTGAGTGGATCATGAGGTCAAGACATCGAGACCATCCTGGTCAACATGGTAAAACCCCGCTTCTACTAAAAATACAAAAAATTAGCTGGGCATGGTGGTGCGTGCCTGTAATCCCAGCTACTCAGGAGGCTGAGGCAGGAGAATTGCCTAAACCCAGGAGGCGGAGGTTGCGGTGAGCCGAGATCGCGCCATTGCACTCCAGCCTGGGTAACAAGAGCGAAACTCCATCTCAAAAAAAAAGTTGAAGAAATCAAGCAATAGATAAACAGTGTTCAGGAGTTGCAAAATGCCAGACATCACACCATGTTCCCACCCTCCAGTACCCTTCCCTTGAAGGCTCAACTACTATACAGTAATCTGTGGCTTCTCTCTTATACTTTTGAGAGTTTATGAGGAGCTTTTGTTCTTCTCTCACAACTTGGTCCATAAAGTGGGAACTCCCTACAACACTGTGGGTCACTCAGAGAGCCATTCTCTTCACCACCTTTCTTGTGCCTCCTCAGGGCAGGAGTGGTGACCTAATGTCATGGTGATCTGGACAGAGCCTTTCATCCACTGAGCTGCATTAACAAAGAGGGGGTCTCCGCATGAAGAGACATTAACCAGGAGGCCACCACTTCCTTGCAGTGGATAAGACATGGGACAGGGCAGTTTCCTCCAGGTTGCTGCTGATGGGGCAAGACTGGCTCTGCAGATTTAACTCACCTCCTAAGGGATTAGTCTAGGCACTAGAATTGGAGGAGCAGAAGTAGAAAGTCTAATTTGAGCTTCTGCTGTAAGCCATATTCTCCAATCCAACTCTGGGTAATAAAAGAGGAATCTGAACACTTATTTATCACTCATTTCTATTTCTCAGATTGAACAGAATCAATTGGAAGAAAGAAGTATTATTAATTGGCACCTCAAATCTCAGTGAGGTCACACCTGAGATACTTGGATTATCGGCCAAGGATAGTTTCTATCAATAATACTGTTTGTGTGGTGGGATGCATCAACACTTCTTGAGCTTCTTCTCTAATCTCCGCTCCAAGCGGCTTTCCAAATGAGCCTTTTTCAGTGGTGGTCATGATTCCTGTCTCTCTCTCAGCCTTTTGCACCACTTACAGTCACTTGCCTTCCCTTCCCCTGTAAGCTTAGAACCTTAGAAATGCTAGGAAGAAGAAGTTTCCAACAGAAATTTCTTCTTCTTCTTCTCAGCTGCATACAGGCTCCTCCCCCCTGTACAGTTGGGCATTCACACACAAGAACTGTAGTTATTAGTTTGTAAAGTTTCCACCCTATCAGGGAGATCATCCTACAGCCCTCTGGTTCATGGAAGATCTGGCACATGGTGCTGACTCCCTCCCCTAAGCATTGCCACCATCCTAGGTGACTATTACATGCACAAGGATAATCGGATAATCCCCTACATCTTTTGACCTTGGTCTCTACCTCCCTCCATGCACTACTGTCTCAATCATGCATTGATTGGCCTTTCAGTAAAATTTTGCTCAGTGCCCAGAGTATTCCAGTCATTATATAAAGTAATAGAGCAGCTTTGTTTTGTTTTTTAACTCATGATCATTTGCCCTTGAGGAGTTCATGGCTGAGTTGGGGACAGCCACAAAGTCAATCATTCCTTGACTTCAGGAAGCACATCTCCACCTCTGAAGTCTTCAAATCAGACATCTTATTTTCTCCCCAAAGCCTGACATTTCAGAAGGTATTTGTGGGTGGGGCACAGACCTCTTAAATGATAACTTTCTGGGGTGTTTGTTAAATATGCCTATCATAGACTCCACCTCAGACTTACTGAGTTAGACTCACTGAAGACGTACGCAGAAATCTGCCTTTTTAACAAGCCCCTAGATGATGCTTATGCATGGTTGAGTTTGAGAACTACCATCTGTCGGTTCAGCCTGATGTTACCCTCACCACACCTGTCCCTTGAATGCACAGAGCCCTCACGTCCTTGACTCCTCCGTTTTCTCTCTACCAGAATCTCCTATCTTCACTTCCTTTCTGTTCAACATAGACACCACGGTCCATCATGTTATCCCTCTTATTTCAATTTCCTTGCCTAACTGGGCTAGCTTTGTCCAGCAAATCCCAGCCTTGGACAATCCAACTACCTTTTCCATCAGGGCTCATTGACTCATTTATCCTTTCAGTACAATTTTGCTCAATGTCCAAAGTATTCCAGTCATTATATAAAATAATGGAGTAGTTTTCTTTGTTGTTGTTTTTTAACTCATGATCATTTACCCTTGAAGAGTTCGTGGCTGAGTTGGGGAGAGCCACAAAATTATTTTGATATATTGTGCTAAGTTCAGGAACAGAAGTAAGCCCAGGGCGCTGGGTTGGAAAGGTATAGCAAGATCAGGAAAGCCTGCTTGGAGCTGTCTCAGAAGAGTCTTAAAGAAATGATGAAAAGGAGGTAGACAGACAAAGAGGAGGGGGTGCATTCCAGTGAGAGGTCAGTGTGAGCAAAGGCAGGATGTGAGAACAGCGTAACAGGTGTGGGACATGAAAAGCAAGTCAGTGCTGCTGAAGCGTGAAGTTCATGGCATAAAGGGGTGAGAATATTTTCCAAACAAAAACTCAGGATATATGACCCCAATGAGGTGGAATGTTCCAAATCAGGAATGTCTCAGAAAATACCAGAGATGATGTCACCAATATACCAGGTAGTTAAGGCTCAATCTGCCACCTCCTCTACATACTCCTGTCCCTACAAGCCCTCAACTTCTTGCTAGAATACACCAGACAATAAAACTCACTGTGCAAGATTCCAGGAGACCCTTTTCATGTCAACTCTAGTGTTATTGTAACAGCAAAATATAAAAATATCAACAGGTTATTGATTAAATTTACTGGGGTCTGTTTAATTACATCATATGCCATTATATTAGACTTCATTTGCTAACAATAACGTGAGAAAATCCTCACTTAAAATTATTTTAACTAAATCAAGTATATTCATATGTTAAGTGTGACCTCTACTAAAAAAATAAGTCTATGTATATCAGGCAATATAATAAAATCATCATAGAACAAATAAATGAAAATAATTGTTAGGTTCCCATTTTTTTCCAGTCCCATTCTATTCTCCATGCCACAGTCAGATTGATATTTCTAAAATGCAAACTTAACCTACCAAAAACCCTTCAAAATCCAATCTCCTTTATCATGGAGGATGAAGCTCAATATCCTCTGGCCCCTTTCCCACCCCCACCCTTGTTTGCCATCTCTCTTACCTCCAGACCTTCACACACACTGCTCCTTCTTCCGAAATGCCCTTCCTCATTCACCTCACCAACTTGTCTGCTTGACCAGCTCTGCTCATCCTTCAAGATGCAACTTAGATGTAACTGATTATAGGAAGCCTCCTCTGACCATCACCACTTTTAAGTTACACCCAGTGCCCCTTCCACATACTCCCATGGGATCCTGTGCTTTCCCATAGCACTTTCCACACTATATTGGTGTTGTCAGCTGACTTTTTTCTATGCTCCACTAGAATTTAACTTCTGTGTTGCAGAAGCCATATTCATCTTGTACACACACACACACACACACACACACACACACACAATCTGTATTAGTTATCTATTGCTGCATAACAAATTACCCCAAAACTTAGTGGCTTAAACCAGCAAACATGTATTATCTCACACAGTTTCTGAGAATCGGGAAACCAGGAACATCTTCACAGTGTGATTCTTGTTCAGGGTCTCTCTGGAGGTTGCAGTCAAGATGTTGGCCAAAGCTGTAGTCATCTGAAGGCTTTACTGGAGCTGGAAGATCCACTTCCAAGATGGCTCACTCACGTGGCTATTGGCTGGAAGTCTCAGTTTTTCACCACATGCATGTGATCCAGACATGGCAGCTGGCTTCTTCAAAGGAAGAGCAAACCAAGAAAAAAACGCAAGGACATAACAGAGTTTCAATATCTATTTTAGTCCTATTTCATACATAAGGAAACACAGAGAAGAGAGGAATACAGGTAATGTGCTTCCCCTGTGAGAGGATCACACAGCTAATTAGCATCAGAGGCAAGGTCTGAACCAGGTAGCCTGTCTCTAGAGCTGTTCTGCCTCTCTAAGCAAATCAGTATATATTTGCTAGACAGAAGAAACTGCTGTTTGTTAGGAGCCATGTGTTAATATATGCTTCCCTAAATGAGCTCATTTTTAGTTCATTCATACTATATGCCAAGCACTATGCTACATGCTTGAGATATCATTTCAGTTATACACACATCTATAATCCACATTGCCCCCAAGAAACTTACAATGGTCCAGGGCATCCATGGCTTGGAAAGAGAATGGCAGCCAGTGGCAACCGCTGGCCTTGGAAAGCTGGCCTCAAGATCTAGTTTCTTGGGAAGGGCCAGGTCTCTCTGGGGAGGCCACCAGAGCTAAGCTCCCTCAGGCCAGCAGGTCCAGCATCACTGTGGCTAAGGCAGCCAGCTTGCCCCAAACACCTCCCCCTTGGAGATTAGGATGGAGCCTGGGTGTGCAGGGTGAGGCTGACATCTGTGATTTGGGCCAGATGATTTCACTGGAGAACCATTCTGCAGCTGCCTTGCCCAGGCTATGAGAACCTTTAGAGGGAGACAGCCCAGCAGTGAAATCACCACTGAGGTACCAGGCACAATGGCACCCTTGTAAGATGTAGCTTGTGATCTCTTGGGCCCAAAACACTGGGCCATGATCCATACCCCTGCCCAGTCCCACCCAGACATAGCACGGTGTAGCTTACAATGTCCATGAGCTGGGATTAATCCTTTTCTCCAAACCTAGACTTGGAATCCACAAGAAGAAACCAACAATATTTGCCATGGACAGATTTTTCAACTATTTTCTCATGTTTAAAATCATAACAGGAGAACTTAAAAGTCCTTCCACTGAATTACTATTTGTTCCAGTTTAAATATAGGTGTTATTCACAATTCCAAAGCACCACACACACTAAAGGACCATATTTTATTCTTTTATCAAAAATTTTCCCCACCTTATTCAAAGAGGATTTAAAATTTAGATACACAAAAAGCAGGAAGATCACATGAATTATGCTGGAGAGAAAAAAGAGAAATCAATACTGGAACATTAAATGGAGTAATATGGTTTGGCTGTGTCACTACCCAAATCTCACCTTGAATTGTAGCTCCCATAATTCCCTTGTGTGGTGGGAGGGACCTGGTGGGAGATAATTGCATCACAGGCGTAGGTTTTCCCATGCTCATCTCATGATCGTGTAAGTCTCATGAGCTCTGATGGTTTTAAAAAGAAGTGTTTCCCCATCATTCTCAGCAAACTGACACAAGAACAGAAAACCAAACACTGCATGTTTTCACTCATAAGTGGGTGTTGAACAATGAGAACACATGGGCACAGGGAGGAGAACATCACATGCTGGGGCCCGTTGTGGAGTAGGGGGCTACAGGAGGGACAGCAGGGGGTACGGGGATTGGGGAGGGATAACATTAGGAGAAATACCTAATGTAGGTGATGGGGGGACAGATGCAGCAAACCACCATGGCATGTGTATACCTATGTAACAATCCTGCAAGACCTGAACGTGTACCCCAGAACTTAAAGTATAATTTTTAAAAATGCAAAAAAAAAAAAAAAAAAATGTTTCCCTGCACAAGCTCTCTTCTCTTGTCTGCCATCATGTAAGACATGGCTTTCACCTTCCGCCATGATTGTAAGGCCTCCTCAGCCACGTGGAGCTGCAAGTCCATTAAGACTCTTTCTTTTGTAAATTGCCCAGTCTTGGGTATGTCTTTATCAGCAGTCTGAAAACGGATTAATACTGAAAATGAACAAGCCAAGAACAAGGCAAATACTGGAAAGTATACCACAGAATCCTTCACACTTGGTACGGATGGCTCTACTGACGGCCCTGTGCTCCCCAGCAACAAAGTGAAGACAGAAGTGCAATCAAATTCAAAAATCTGTGTCAACATGGTTTTTTTTTTTTTTTGCCTGTATATACTGAAGTATATATTTTTTCTTCAATAATTTCATTTCACAAAAATTATAATGTTCTTGAGATTAAAACCAGTCAGCACCCAAGAAAAACATAGCTACCAGAAGACAAAAAATAATTCCAACATTTGTCATAGGGAGGATGTAAAGTGAGGTAAGTAATATCCTTATAAAAATCTTTTGGTGCAGGCTAAGAGATTGGGTTGGATTATGTCATATGGCAAAGGTGATTGAACCTCTCTGCCTTGATTATGCTACTCTGTGTGTGACTCTGTCTTAGCAGACTGAAGAGAGAGACTTGAGGCCGAGGCGGGTGGATCACAAGGTCAAGAGATCGAGACCATCCTTCTCAACATGGTGAAAACCCGTCTCTACTAAAAAATATACAAAAAATTAGCTGGACATGGTGGTGCGTGCCTGTAATCCCAGCTACTCAGGAGGCTGAGGCAGGAGAATTGCCTGAACCCAGGACGCGGAGGTTGCCGTGAGCCGAGATCACGCCATTGCACTCCAGCCTGGGTAACAAGCACGAAACTCTGTCTCAAAAAAAAAAAAAAGAGAGAGAGAGAGAGAGACTCTCCTGCTAGCCTTGAAAAATCAAGCTGTTATATGTGAACTCCCAATAGAGAGACCCACATGGCCCGGAACTGTGGGTGGCCTCTAGGAACTAAAGACCTCAATCCTACAATCTCAAAAAGCTTAATTCTGCAACAACCATATGAACTTGGATATGACTTCTTCCCAACACAAGCCTCCAGATGAGAATGCAGCCCAGCCACCCACTTGATAGCAACCTTATGAAACTCTAACCAGGGTACCCAGCTAAGTCATGCCTAGTCCCTGGTCAACTGAAACCAATAAATGGTTGTTGTTTCAAGCTGCTGGCCCTTTACAGAAAAAAGTTTGCTAACTTCTGCACAGAAGCATAATTCATAAAGAAAATGATTCTATGAGGTATATATGGGCTTTTGAAAGCATACACAAAGAGCTGTAATAAGAATGTTCGGAAGCCCTGCTCTGGGTCAGTACAGAAAGAGCCACTAACATTGACATCAGAGAGTATATGACACAGCTGAGCAGGGCTCATGAAGGCAGCTGAACCAGTTAGATTTCTTTCGTGGCAAACAGCAGAAGTTGACTCTGGCTAGTTTACCTAGGAAAGAAATACATCTAAAACTTATCAGATAATTTGTGGAATCAAAGAAAAGACCGGTGAGTTATTCTCTGGGAAGGACAGAGACCAGGATAGTTCTGGGAGTCTAAGTAGCAGAAGTGACTCACAGCTTCAGCAGGACTCTGTCACTGGAATTGCTGAACCTTAATTGCTGGGTTATATTTTTTGCATCACTGAGTTCAAAATTCAAAGTCCCAAGAAAGAGAGGATCTGACTGACTCAGGCTAAGGAGAAGCACGCACTTTTATTTAACCTATCACGACTGCACAGAAGAGGAAAGAGATTCTTTCCCTAGAGAAAATCAGGATATTAGAGCTGGAAAATGGGGGAAAGGTGATGAGCAGCCATCAGCGATTACCACTGTAGCCTGGCCTCCATTCCTGTATCCTCACATCCCTGTATCCCCACATCCTCACATCCCTGCATCCCCACATCCTCCTGTCCCCTGGCACTCATCCAGTCCAGAAACTTTCCAGATGTCTCTCTGCAAGTTTTTGCCATGTCCATTTTTACACACTGATGTTCACCTCTCTGAAACATAAGCTTCAAGAGGACAGAAATGATGCTCACATTCTTCACAGACTTAACACCTGCCCAGTAGATAGTAAATGCTCAAGAAAGCTATGTTACATCAAATAAAAAGGCTTCTCCACAGCAAAGAAAACAATCAACAAAATGAATGAGTGACCTATGGATTGGGAAAAAAATATTTGCAAACTGCAAATCTGACAAGAGGTATCCCAAGTATATAGAGAGCTCACACAACTTAAGAGAGGAAAAACACATAACTCAATTGAAAAATGAGCAAAGAATTTGAGTAGTCATTTTTACAAAGAAGACATACAAATGACCAACAGGTATATGAAAAAAAACCTCAACATCACTAATCAGGGAAATGCAAATCAAAACCACAAGGAGCTATCACTTCACATCGATTAGTATGGCCATTATCGAAAAGACAAAAGAGAACAAGTGTTGGAAAGGTGTGGAAAAAAGGGAACCCTTGAATACTGTTGATAGGCATGTAAATTGGTACAACCATTATGGAAAACAGTATGGAGATACCTCAAAAATTAAACTAGAGCTACTGTATGATCCAGCAATCTAATCCCACTTCTGGGTATACAGCCAAAGGAAATGAAACCAGTATCTTGAAGCGATATCCGCACTTGCATGCTCATTGTAGTGTTATTCACAATAGCCAACATAAGGAAACAGCCTAAGTGTTTTCCCACAGATGAATGGATAAAGAAATTGTGAGAAATATACATATATATATACACACACAGATTTATGTGATGGAATATTATTCAGCTTTCAAAAAGAAGAAAATTCTGCCATTTTTGACAACACAGATGAACCCCGAGGACATTATGCTAAGTGACATGAGCCAGACACATAAAGAAAATACTGCAGCATCTTACTTATATGTAGAATCTTAAAAAACTCAAACTCATGGAAGCAGAGAGTGGAATGGTAGGGAAAACAGAAGGAGATGTTGGTCAAAAGGTACAAAGTCACAGCTATGTGAGATGAATAAGTCTAGAGCTCCAATCAACAGCATGAGGACTTTAAGTAATAATATTGTATTAGTTCATTTCACACTGCTATAAAGAAATATTCTAGATTGGGTAATTTATAAAGGAAAGAGGTTTAATTGGCTCACAGTTCCACATGGCTGAGGAGGCCTCTAGAAACCTACAATCACAGCAGAAGGGGAAGCAGC